GATTGTTGTAGAATGTCGTACAGATCGCTTTCATGCGACACGGATATGTCATTCTCGTTTATCCTTCATCTTTTAGTGCTACCGCGGTCAGCTATTTAGGAGGATGCCTTCAGACGATACTATTCTTCTCTAACGTGGCTTCACTTACCTTCATTCTCTTATACCTATGTTCCTCCCGGATGTTTTTCTCGTATTTCTTTGCACAGATCAATTTACTTGTCGTACAGGTGCCCATCGGCCATCATTCTCGCTCTTCTGGCCAACAATTGTATTGTTGCACAGCTGGTGCGCTGTTTCCTCGTCAGCCCTGTTGCCAGGCTGGATATTCGAATGGTAGTTTTGATAGTATCGGTGAGATGCTTGTGGTCTACATCGATGCCTCTGTTAATGTCTGTTGGGAGGTATGACTGAGGAACCTTATCTGTGAAAACCAGGACCGAACATTCGCCCAATGACGATGGTTTTTGATCCCTTCTGATCCCGATGTTCTTCAGCGACATAGATTCTGACTAAATGTCAAGCAAAGTGATCTGTAGTGGGATTCCGTGTTGACGACAATGAAATAACCATGTGTTATTACCCGCTCGGTGTCCGTCACCACTCAGTTGATGTAGTTGAGGATTGTTCCAGTAGGGTTCCTCCATTTCCACTGTCACTTCTCGACTTTTTCAAAAATGGTGTTCATTATGTGAAGCCAGTTACTTTCGGCAAGCTCCAAGAGGCGAAGCCGTCGTTTCGGTCTCCACTTCCATACCGTCTGATGAAAAGCGCTGTTTCGGTTTTTTCTTCATTGCTGTGACGTTGACATCTCATTGGACGATTGTTTACGTTTGCATATTTTGTACTGTGCTTCCCAGTTCCTCATAGAACTACTCCACTTCATCATCTTCTACTTGCTCTCATCGGCTTTGAACTTCGGTTATTGTTATCGATCTTTACTTGTCCAGGCGCAAAATTTGTTCGACCACAGGAGGTAACATGAGGTTGCAGCTGACTAAAAGTGGTATTGCCCTCTTCCTTACGATGAGTCTTACACCACCTGTCTGAGCCCGGCTTTCGTAGGCTTTTATGAGGAATATTTTATCATCGTTGTTCCATTGTGAGACAAGTTCGACGGATCTTAGGGCTTCTCATACGCCGAGCATACCTGCTTTGATCTTCTTCGCATCAGTATTGTAGATATCGACGATCGCGTCTGACGAAAGAAATCTGGTGATGGGACCAGTCGATAATCCTGATGATAATCTTTTGCCGTTTGCGAATCACGTCCTGGCCTTCACTGGCCGTGAGTAATTCCACTCTATGACAGGCGACAAAGTAGCTTACACTTACGGCTCCGATATTTTTCCATGCTTGGAGTGCCGTAGGCAATTAATTCAGGGTGCCAATCTTCGTCCTCCACATCCTTAAACCAGTACATGGAGATACAGAAAGGATCACTTGGTTTGCTCTTTGTCCTCGCATGGTTCACTGACTAGTGTCTCGCCTCGCCATCTCACCGCGTCATTGAATACCCTCTGTAACAGACCCAGCCGGTTCACCATGCAGGGGGCTAATCGATGCTGGCAAACTGAAATATGACTAAGCGATGCGGTCAGCCTATCAAACGGAGATGCAGAGTTATTTTAGTGACCAGTCGAGAAGTGACGATGTCGCTGAATCTTACAAAACTTTAATAAAAACAATATGTCTTTGGCGAAAAGTGTCCTGGATTACGGAATAGACTTTATTCCCTTAGAATGCTTAAGAGCATGACAAGAAGGAGTGCGTGAAACGTCCTACTGAAACCTGGAAGGCAGTTCATCGCCTCTTGTTCGTCCAATCAACCAGAGCTACAGATAAAAGAGGAGAACTTTCTCTAAATGGTGAAATTAGGAAGATTAATAATGCTACCATAATGTGGGTGGCTGGCGAACAATATAGAAGGAATGGGACAATAACTTTTTGGAAGAAACCTGATGATTCCTTATCCAAGATGCTACAGGTGTCCCATTGGCATATCATAAGGAACGCCTCAAAAGATGGTCTCAGCACTTGCAGCAGCTACCATCCAGATTCGTAATTTCCGACTGTTAACTATTTGTCATTAATAGGGGCTAGTTCAAATCCATCCACAATGCTAGAAATCAAAAAATTCTTGGTGCATCTCAAGAAAAATAAGGCCTGTGGGCCTCAGATTTCTCCGGAATTAATTAGGTATGAATGAACGGTAGCGGTAGAAAAGCTCCATCTTTATTTCATCAAATTTGAACCCTAAGAATTTTCTCTAGAGGATGGAGGTGTGATGTGATTGTCTCTATAGTTAGGTGCTCCGGCTACAGAATGATTCA